CCCCCCCCCGAAATGTTAATACAATTTAAAAATTATTTTAATGGTCTATGGCATTCGATCAAAAACTAAACCACCGCTGTGTAAAAAATTGATCAGCCCCTCCCCTGAAAAAAAATCCTGGCTACGCCACTGTTATATTATGTTACCTACATTCAATTTCTCAGACAACTTAATAATTATGAAAATAAAAATTTATTTATTATAATGTAAAATAATACATAAATTTGAAATACTTACTGACTCTACTATTTTTACTTTTAGATCATATACTATGGTCAGTTAAACATAAACCCTATTAAGCAACAAGTCTGTATTAGACAAATAAACTTCTCATGCACAAAAAGAAATGTCATAATATATTTATCTATTTTAATTGATATAGCTAACATAAAAATATAAATTAATCAGCAACCAACGGTTAAATTTAATATGCGACAGTTCGCATCACGCATACGCACAATAATAAGCATCTAATATAGTGACTCGTCGGCCGTCGCATATACCTAAGTGCGATAAATTCAAAATTGTTTACAATGACGAGAATGGGCGTGATAACCTGGCTTCATCCATAGTATATGATCAAAAATACTAGGTACTATAAAAAAACACTATATTACTATATTAGTAATAGTTAAATTATAGACACAGATACATAGGCATAATTAAGGCTAACCCCCCCCCCCCCAGTTTTTTAATCATATTTTAGTTGAAAATAATTATCAGGGTCTGTGCTGCTATTTTAGTCCCTCCTCTTAAAAATGTCCCTTGTTATCATAGAAGTGACATTATCTTAGACCTTAGACAATATACTACCTTTAGACCATACATAATTGCTGCCTTATTAAAACATATTGTTGTGACTAATAATTGTATATTAAACATTTTTATTATACCCAAGGAATACCAGCTTCTATGGTCCTGTTATAAACTTGAACGAGATCTTCAAAAGTTTGCCCATATCTAAAAAAAATAATTGAATTTAGTAATTATATTATTTACGTATAGACATGGTTTTAAAACTATGTTTACCGGCTCATATGGAAACCTAAAGACCAATAAGGAGGTAAAAATGGTCTACCAATAATGTCAGTGTACTGAGTAATAACATCTGAAGGGGTTGGCCCAGAAAAAAAATAAAAATCCAAAATTCCGCCAATTACACGATATGTAATTGCAGGGGCAGGCTGCAATATAATATCTGCAAGAGGTATACATTTGATAAAATGTATTATATGAAATAATTTACGATGTATAATAGATTAATATAATATGTCTTATTTTAGTTGTTATAAACAGTCTTTACTTACCCATAGCATTGCTATTAAATAAAAAAACTCCATGACTCTTTCCAGATTTTTCCATTAATAAATAAAACGGATGTGAGCCATAGCCATTAATCTAAAGTGAGTATCAACATATGCATAATATATTAACATGTCAAACTAAATTGTTTTTCAGCTTTAAAAATAGCGGGTGATTGGATGTCGCTCTGCTGTACATTAGGTGTCTTAGGAGGTCGCTGTAATGGATGGTATTAAATTTGAATTCAATGATATAATATCATCGTATACGAAAAACGATTCTGAGCGGTGACGGTATGTCTAGTCTAGGATATTTTATATTGTTATTACTTATTATTAATAAGGTAGTCAATAAGTTGAATATTCTTAAATTATCAATGAAGCTGGAAAAATATAAACAAAAATAATGTAAAATTGGACTGTTTTGAACTGAATTACAACAAAATGAAAAACGTTATTGTTTGTGTTAATATGCAGTTTTGTCCAAATTGGAACTTAAAATGTCTGTTAAAAATAACTGTATTTATATATTTTTTAGATTTTTTAGTGACGGATAAAATTATTTAAGCGGACCCTTGTTTTAAATTTTCAAACCTTAGCTATGAAAATTGAAAATTTTTTAATTTTTTAACTACAATATAATTTTCAATATTCAATTTGATAAGTATTGTCAACATTTGAACTTAAAATCTTTATAAAAAAAATCGTCCCTAGGTTTTTTAATAACAAGTTTAGTGATCGAACTATTGTAAGGCTCCTATTATTCTTCTTGGATTTATAGAGCCACAAGCAAACAACAAAGACATTTATGATATTAAAAATTTGTGCTTTCATAAAATAAAAGTGGAATCTCCAAGGAAAAAAAAAAGAATTGCCACAATGTAAAAATTGACGATTCATTTTTTAATTACAACAAAATAAGACAATTACTAATAATTGCTAAAAATCGACTGAACATCCAATGTTGTAAAAATGTCATCTTCAAACGCTCATAAAAATTTAAATTGAATTTCTGGTAGAAATTTTGTTTTGGATAAAAGTAGAAAAACTTATAAGGAATTTTGTATTAAATTTTTAAATCTTAGGTATAAAAAGAAAAAAATTTATGAATTTCTAACTAAATATAATTTGCTAATTTTCATGATATTTACAAATTTTGTCAAAATTCTAAGTATAAACACTAATGAAAAATTGTTATGGATTTATTCAACCTTTTTTTTAATTTCCATTAACAATAACTTACAAGGAACCTTGTATTACATTTATAAGTTTTTTGACAGAGCGAAAACCTTTTAATCAACTTTAGTATAAAAAAAACAAATATTAATCAAAAATTGCAAATGCCTTTAAATAGTTCAACACAAATCAAAATAGTTTGAAAATTGTATGGTGTATATAGAAAATGCTAACACAAATATTCAGTGTACATTTCATGTATCTACGGTCATTTCTGTTAGAGTTACACTAAAAATCAAAATCGATTTTTTCGAAAACTGGTTTTGCGTAAAAAATCCCGTTTTTTCTTAATTTTTTGTTTGTTTTTCTTGTTGCATTTGAAGACTATTGGGAATTAAACATTTTTTATCTCCCAAATGCACCAACTAGATTAATTTTACTACCTGAAAAGTTGCTGTTGAAGGAAGTCAAAGATTCATAATTTGTAAAGATTTCGAACCCCCACTCGACTATACATAATATAGACTCAAAGAAAGTATGCAAAAGAATATAATTCTGGCCCCTAATTATAAATTTGTCTACTTTTATCAAAAAAAAAAATATATAAGAACTAAATAAATTATGAGAGGTCTTTTACTTATTTTGAGCCACTTCGACCACTGTATAGGTCGCACTGTAGCAATAATGCAGTAGAGAAAAAAATGCTATTTTTGATAAAAAATATCAATTAAGTACGTGCACCTAAATCATCCGTTTGTGTGTATAAAATATTATAAATATACAGGGATGCCTGATGCCTCTCAGTGTCAAGACAAGTCACTTCTCTCACATCCTTCAATCAGTTAAAACTTCTAATCTGTACTTTCTAATCGAAACAGATTCTTGAAGAACAGGCAACAGCAAAATTGAAGACAGCATACCAACAATCCAGACTATACAGCAAACCACCAAGAGTTGACGATGATCAGACAACAGCTAGCGATCCGACAAAGTTCGTCGTCCCGAAAAAAAATATGCTTACGTCAGGTTTTGGAGTACTGTCATGATTAAACATTGTATAGGTTTTCCAATTTGAATCCAAGACTAAATTAGTTCTATGTTCTCCCAATCCATAAATGTAATTTGATTGTAGTAAAGCCGAAAATTGAATAAATTGATCAGAAAATATAAAACCCCCAATATTTCGACTATCAAACCTGGAATTAAAAAAAATAAACATATTTTAGTAGTGGTAATTATAATTTTATAATATTAACTAATCTGTAAAAATTATATGTATTGTAAGTATAAGATTGTTATATACAGTATAGGACATAGGTATGTGGGAGATACTCACAAAACTGTGTTATCTACTTTTCGAATAATAGCAAATCCAACTCCTTTCTTAGCAATTCTTACAACGAAATCAGATATTATTAAGCTATCATTTCTTTGAATCGGTTTTCCTTTAAAATCGTTAATTTTTGGGAAGGGTGGCTTGTAACGTATTTGAACAGCATCATCAATCTGTATTATATAATGATATGCTTTAATTGTTTTATAGATATATACTATATACAATCTATACTACATAGGTACCTAATTACAGTTTAAATAATTATGTATACATGATTATAATATGAATAATGAATAATGATCTATCAATGCAATATAACTATAATAGGTACCTGTGGCATGTAATTATTATTATCGGGAGTTTACCAATTACGCTTAAAATTACCTTTTCATATACCAATTGCGCTCTAAACATTTTAGGGTCGATATACCAATTGCGCTCTGAACATTTAAGGGTCGATATACCAATTGCGCTCTATACATTTTACATTACCTTAGGAAAACTTATTATTTGATTAAATATAGGTATATATGTACATATTTTTGGTTTTTATTACATATTAACCTATTTTTTACGAGTATTAATGCATAATATATTGTGAGATGTATTATACAGTTTTACAAGGTTTTGAGTTTAAGGTAATCATGATGTTTGTATTTTGCATGTTTTAATAATAATAATATTTTTTTAAATAATAATTTGAACATGGCATTACAATTTAGAATAATATAATTTGGTTAGTTTACAGAATTATATATTTGTTAAATAATACATGTTTTCACTACGAGGAAAGAAGAATATCATAATTCATAAGTATAACAGAGCAATTACATTAAATATTAAAATAATTCATTTAGTCACCACGAGGTATAATAATAACATGCTAATTTAAAAAAATATATAATACAAATAAATTAATAAATATACTAACCGGTCACAAGTTAGAACGTCAAAAAAATGTAATTATAAATATAAATAATATAAAAATAAATGAATAGGTAACGGATAGGTTAGCTATAATAACTTAATATATAAAAAAGGTTGTTTGTCTATTTGTTACTTATATAGACTCAACAACTACTGAATTGTTTTTAATAACAATTGTTTCAATAGATATTCCTTGGAACTTTGAGGGGAGGGGGATGTTTATAGCTTATTTTTTACAAGAATTTTATTTTGGCTCACGAAAAAAAAATTTTTTTTTAAGGTTACATGTTATATTACTATATTAGTATATTACTAAGATAATATTAGTAGAAATATGGAATTTACATTTCGATTACAAATATATTTATAAAAAAAAGAAATCTGCCAGAAACTATTTTTCACATGGAGGAAGTAGCATCATGCATATGAAGATTGAAGAGTATAATACAACAATAATTATTTCACAATGGACAAATAATTGCTTATGTGATCGGAATTGAAAAATGTCTACTAATTAATTTTTTTAAATGTTATATTGGTTTAATAATTAGATTTGTGTTTGTAAAAATAAATTGTAGATGCTTAGATATGAAATAATAATAGGTTGGTACTTTATATATTTGTATTGAAATTTGAAACAACACATTACACATTATAATTAGGTCATTATGATCTTATTTCTTATATAGTTATACACTGAATAGCAAAAAATGGAGGAACTTATCTTCTATTATCTACTACATGGGGCTGTACAAATAATAAGCAAGACATCGATAATGATATTGATGCATACAGACTATGGATCATGAGTCTAAAGTTCAAATGTTAAATAGACACGTTAAAGCTGGTACGTTCAAAAAACGTCTGGTGTAAAAATGTAAATGTAAATTTTAGTGGAGGAGATCAAAATTATATGTTTTTTAATTCAAGATTGTGCCTGAGTGCCTGACCGTCTTTGATGAGGCGGGGTTAGTTCCCCTCACTACATGCCTTCTCAGACACTACTATACGTAAGAAAATGTCACCAACTTGGAAAACAAAATATTCACTCATATTTTTGATTTATTTTTATTTAAAAAAAAAAAGAAAAATAATAATGATAGTTATACCTACATGTTAGAGGTATAAATAGGAAGAAAAAAAGGTTGAGCCGGTGGGTACCGCTCTGGCCTCTGTTGCGCACTGTACATTATGCTATATACTTTATACTTTTATAGGATAGGTGTCTAGACAATGAGTCTCACTCTATGACTTACAGTTGATATAGGATAATATGTTAAATTTCAATTAAATGATAAAAATCATTAAAATCATTCTATTGAGAAAAAGTTCTGGGCCTATCAGCCTGTATTACTAAGTGCTAAGTATATTTTATGATATTATTGCTGTTTATAATGTAGGTAATTTATTTTACTTTTACACATTATATAGTAATGCACTAATACACATGACCTTATATGCAGTGAAATTTCTATATAACGAAGTCGAATAAGCAGCAAAAAATTAGTAATATGGAGGAATTCCTTAAATAGAATTACGTATTTTTTTCAACTTTTAAAAAAAATTGTATTGTATGTATTTATATACTTCTATGCTTTGTATATGTTGTGTAAAAAACAACATCAAATATAATACTACAGTTTAATTTAGTTTTTAATTTTATAATTCAAAAGAAATAATTAGTGAGTTTTATTTCCTTATTGTTTTTATAAATTGTACTTTTTTCGTAAAAAGTTTCTATATCATTAAGTTTTAAAATACCGCGATAAAATTAATCAGTTTACCTACCTTCGGTGTCTTATCTTTATCGGATACATTGTTCATGTACAATTTTTGAACTATGTTTAAAATTTGATAGTGGCAACATTTACAAAAACCAGTTTTTATCAATAGGTAATTATTTCGTTGTATAGAAACATTAGATTCGTTATTTGGAGATAAATGTACTTGTATTTAACAATGAAGGTCATGGTTCTCAAAAATAATTCGTTAAATAGAAAATTTCGTTAATTGGAAGTTTCACTGTATTAGAAAAGGTAATCAGAAAAACGAACTGCAACAACGGAATAGTATTAGGAAACTCGAACATAAATATCTTCGCTTATGCGGACGATATATTGATATTAGGAGATACCTACTGAAGAAACGGTTAGACAAGTATGTAGGAAACTCATCATTATGGCTAATAAGGTCAGACTGGAGGTAAACGAGAAAGACAGAGTACATGATATTAAGTCACCAGGATAGAGAATATCAACAAGGACAAACTATGAATGTTGAAGAGCATGTATTTAAAAGAGTCGCGCGTTTCGAGTACTTGGGGCACTTGCTAACATAAGATAATGACTCGAAGATGGAAGTCAGTGATAGGATACAAAAAGGCAACAAAAGTTTTTTTGGTCTTGGAAAAGTACTGAGCTCAAGAACATTATCGACAAACCCGAAGGCACAAATGTACATGACCCTGATACGACCCATAGTACTGTATGCTGCGGAAACATGACCACTTAAGAAAGCAGAAGAAACTAGACTAAAAGTATTTGAAAGGAGAATCCTAACCCAAATCTATTGCACATGCGTCGACACAAACACAGATGAATGGCGTAAACGTCATAATAAAGAACTCGAAAAGATGTTCCAGAGACCGAACATCGCGAATGAAATCAAGAAAAGGAGATTTAACTGGGCAGGACATGCGCGGCGGAGACTGGAGAGTGGAATCTATATAGTCAGAACAATTGAATAAGAGAACCCGGTCGGCAAGGAATCCCGGAAAAAAATCCCCCGACGAACAAACCAGGAAAAAAAATCCCCAGACTCATATTACTCACAACCACAAGCAAATTGTTAAACAAATATTTTTAAACGTTTTTTTTTTTTTATTATAAAAGCCGCTAGTATAGACTATGATAGCTTGACAATTACATAATTTTTAAACGTTATTGATAATAATTATAATAAAATAATTATCAAACAATTAAAAAAAAAAAACATAGCATATAAAAATATTTCGAATGTATCGATCATAATAATTGTCAATAACATAAAATTTTAATTATAATAGTATGTATTAATAATAATAAAATCATGATCAAACAAAAGTTAGAAATAGTTAATTTATTCACTGCCCACAGTTAATTATTAGATTGTTTTCTAATATTATGGCTTATTGAGTTCAAAAAAACAGGAATATCTATTTTTCCACTTACAAACTTGGCGCAAAGTTCTTGTAATCTACTTTCTCGTTTTGTCTAAAATATAGAAAAGTTGAATTTCTATAGATATTAGATACGCACTAAACTGACTAAACTGCACACAACAATCATAAGTATCATTTGAAGTTCTTATTTCTTATAAATTTTCGTCAAAATGTCACAGAAAACGCAATATTTTATTTCGGGTATTATACCAACATAAAATATGTATTAATATAGTAATATAAAATAGTATTGTTAATTATTCCTTCTAAGGTTTTTTTAAAAATTTTTTTGTATTCTATATTTTACTATATTAGTTCTTAAGTACAAAATATTAGGTATAGATACTAATTAACGTTTAAAAAATATTTATTCAAACATTTGCATGTGGTTGTGAGTAATATTGTAGTCTGGGGATTTTTTTTCCGGGTTTGTTCGTCTGGGGATTTTTTTTCCGATTACCTCGGTAAGAGACCCCCAACGGTTACGTTACGTTGGGAGGACTATGTAAAAAGGGACGCGGAAAATATTAAGACAGAGATACCATGGAGAGTAGCGGCAGTAAATAGATATAGACGGAGAGAAATTTGTTTGACGGTATATGGTTTCAATGACCATCATCATTCACTTTTTTATTTCATCTACAGATGAGTAACTCAAGTGCATCAATAGACATTTTAAATTATAAAGTAGGAGCTTTTTGTAATAATTTAGATAAAGAAGACACGTAAAAAAAATTATGTAAAAGTTTTTCAAATGATGATATTTAAATTTTTTTAATTTCCGTAAGCTATATTACTAGAATAAAAAGTAGGTATAAATTACGTTTTTCCGCGAAACCCTCAAACCTGCGAACTATACAAGCCTTCCAATCAATATGTCTCCGTCAAATCGTCTCTGCCCCTTGGTATATAAAAAACGCCAATCTTCACAAAGACTTAAACGTTCCCACACTTTCTCAGCTAACCAAATCCCACTTCCTCTCATTCCATTCTAAGCTAAATCACCATACTAATCCATTAATCAAACGTATGTCTTCTTGTACAATTCCCGATAATCCTAGAAGAAGATTGAAACGATCTTGGCCTAGAGATATCCTTGCTTGATCTGTCGGGTGGTACTAC